GCCCTAGTGACACTGTTTCAGGGCCTGGGTTAGTGAATCAAGTCTACCCTTTTAAATATTCCATTTTCTTTGCAATTTTCTTTTTCTCTCTAACTCTACTCTCTTGATTATTTAAACACATCTACATAACAACCATTGCTAAGAAATGACAATTGTTAAAAAAAATGTTTTGAGGTGTTAGAAATGAACAAAAACACTCTTTTCATTATAAGTTGAGAAGAAATATCATGATCTGTATATATTTTTTTACATTGTATCTTAACTGCAAACATATCCACTGTAGACATCTCTATTATTTTGCACATGTGGAGGTGGTCTTAAGAAAAACTGTCACCTTAGTACCATCATTAAGCACAATTATTAGAAAACTCAGCTGTTCTAATATCTTACACCTCAACATTAGTTGGGATGAGAAAACTTTTAGATTCAACAAGAATTTGCATGCTTATCACTTCTGAAAGCTGATTCTAAAAAAGATTTCTACTTTAAAGTAGGAATGATTGAAGAGGATCCAAGATGGCTGCACAGGTAAACACCTAACCGCAGCTGCACACAACAATTTCAATAAAATACAACTAAAATATAAAATGGACATTGCCCAGAACTACAGGAAAGTCGACTGGAAATTCTACAACGAGAAGCAAGGAGAAAACCAGAAGGAAGAGCGGAGGAGCTGTAAAAGCCTAAGATACGGAGACACGCGGCGCGCGCGGAGAAGACGGAGCCAGAGAGGAGGGGGCAGCTGAGTGCCTGGCTGGCGTTCCCTAGCAGGAAGAAGATAAAAGCTCCAACTGTGCTGAACCCCAGACCTGACAGTGCTGAACCCCAATTCTAGGCCAGACCCTGGGAACCCAGGTTCAAACAGAGGGAGCCTGGGCTGTGAGGCAGAATCCCAGGGGAGCAGTAAAAGGCAGAGCCCCTGAAGGCGCACAGAGAAGGGACTGTTGGCTGTGCCATGGGATTGCCCTGGCGGGAAGGAGACAAAAGCTCTAGATTGCTCTGAATCCCACTTCCAACCCCACTTCCAACTGAACTGAACCCCAGTCCCGGGCTCATTGGGGGAGAGACTAGACTGTTTGGTAGCAGGCGAAACTGGAAGGCACCTCACACTCAGAGGTGCTTGCAGTGAGTACTGAAGGGCCCTGAGAAACAACGAGACTCAGGAGCCACATAGGGCTGACGGAAGCCAAGGCTCCACCCTGAAACTCCACCCCATCCAGGCAGAACTCAAAGACTTTTAAGGCTACCAACTCAGGAAAGCTGTGAAAATGCCGAGTCAAGGAAATAGATCACAAACGAAAGAAATGGAGGACAAAAAGCAACTGGATATAGAGTTCAAAAGCATGCTTATAAGGTTATTCAAGAATCTCCTAGAAAAGGCCAATAAAACAAACGAGACCTATGAGGATATGAAAAGGGATCAACTAGAAATAATAAGGGATCAACAAGAAATAATAAGGGATCAACAAGAAATAATAAGGGATCAACAAGAAATAAAAAACACATTGTCTGAAATTAAAAAAAATATTATACAGAGTCCTAAAAACAGAATGGAAGATCGCAAGAATCAAGTCAAAGATTTGGAACATAAAGAGCAAGAAGACACTCCTCGGCGGAAGCAAGAAGGCAAGAGAATCCAGAAAGTTGAAGATAATGTAAGAAACCTCTGGGACAACTTCAAGCGAACCAACATCAGAATTATGGGGGTCCCAGAAGATGAGAGAGAGCAAGATATCGAAAACATACTGAAAGAAATACTGACAGAAAACTTCCCCCACCTGGTGAAAGAATTAGACTTACAAGTCCAGGAAGCACACAGAACCCCAAACAAAAGGAATCCAAAGAGGACCACACCAAGACAAATCATAATTAAAATTCCAAGAGCAAAAGACAAAGAGAGAATATTAAAAGCAGCAAGAGCAAAGCAGGTAGTTACCTATAAAGGAGCACCTATACGATTGTCAGCTGATTTCTCAACAGAAACCATGCAGGCCAGACAGGAATGGCAAGAAATATTCAAGGTGATGAATAGCAAGAACCTACAGCCAAAAATAATCTACCCAGCAAAGCTATCACTCAGAATCGAAGGCCAGATAAAGAGCTTCACCAATAAAAAAAAAGCTAAAGGAGTTCATCACCACCAAACCAGAATTATATGAATTGCTGAAGGGGGTTCTTTTGGAAGAGAAAGTAAATAAAGATAAAAACTATGAACAACAAATATGTAACTATCAACAAGTGAATCTAAAAACCAAAAAAAAATTTTTTTTAAATCTGATGAACAATATTAACTGTTGAATATAATAGAATCAGAGGTATGGAAGGGGAGTGAATTGACGATTCTCGGGGAAAAGGGAAGAGGGAGGTGTGGGAAGAGACTGAACATAAACTGTGCACCTATGGATGAGGACAATGAGGGGTGGGGAAAGGGCAGAGGGTGGGGTGGGAACCTGGTGGAGGGGAGCAATGGGGGGGGGGAAGAGGAACATCTGTAATAATATGAACAATAAAGATTTATAAAATAATAATAATAATAATAAAGTAGGAATGATTATACCTATTCCCTTTACATTTATACAAAGAAAGAACCATAGGTGATACCCAGCCAGTTGTCTAAACGTGAAGGATTAATACTATATTAGAGGTTAAATTCATAATACTTATTGTATTCGATTTGAGAGATGAAAAATAAAGACACAGATACTGGCGAAATCATATTTCCCCATTTTTGCCTCAAATCAATGTCTCTGACTGAAACCGGAGAGGAGAGGATGGAGCCGGAGAGGAGGGGGCGGCTGAGTGCCTAGCTGGCATAAGCCAATTTACCTGTGCTACAGGATATAATTAAGGGGGGCAAAAGTAAAATCTACGATAAACTTTATATCTTATCTATAGAAAATGCCACCAAATTTATTTATGATGTAACCCTTAAAGCAGAGAAAAACTTCCACTCAGCTATGCTAAGTATGGAACTCTAAATTCTGAGGTTGTTAAGCACAGAAAGTGGGCCCTGATCCCTCTTTATGTCTCCTGGACCTATTATCTTTCTTGGTTCAGAGTCAGGAATCGCAAGGTATCTTTTAGCCCAGGCCAGATAGTTCTGTTTGTTGGAGCATCATCCCAATACACCAAGATTGAGGGTTTGATCCCTGTTCAGGGCATGTACAGGAGGCAATCAATGCATGTATAAATGAATATAATAACAAATCAATGTTTCTGTCTCTTTCTCCCTTCCGTTCTCTCTCTATAGAATTAATATATTTTTTAAAAAAGAGATATTTTTAATGAATAAGATAAAGACACATTAAACTTGTATGATGACAGCTTACTAAGGATGTGTCTGATGAGCCTAAAATACCCAAAATTTCCAACCCAGACTCCCAAAGGGTATGTGATAGAATGGGGTTACTCTTGGTAGGCCGTGACTAAAGTTTTACATCTGCATGATTATGTTTATAAGTTTAGTTGTAAACTTTATGACTAAAGTTTTTTAAGACTGAAAATGGTTTTAGATGCACCATTAGGCTGAATGTCAGAAACTCTGGATTTTTGTCTGGGGAATCAAAAAAAAACGACTGCTTAACAATGTACTAGTTGCTCTCAAAGGTCATTAACAATTAATTTTAAAATGAAAAAAAGTGTCTCAATGAAGTTATAGTCTATCTCTCCAAACTGATTTTCTAAAAGTTCATCAGCTCTCACCAACCTACCCTGTACACTGGCTTCCTTCTTTGTATTCTGGCTTCTGCCCCATTTCCTTCAGCTGAGATTTCCTCCTTGCTAGTCTCTCCTCTCTAGTTCTTGACCATTCTTTAAGACCCAGACCCTTATCTGTTTCCTTGAAGCCACACACATTGGGGGTTCACATGGAATGTATGTGAGCCCCTCAAGGACAGAGCATGCTTATTCTCTTGAGTACTGTCCTCAGCACTCCCCCTGACATATTGCAGAGAGCACAGAAGTGGGGAAAAAGGAATATTGTACTTTCCTCTCCCCTCCCTCCCTCAGGACTTCCTAGCCTTAACTCAACTCAACCCAAGATCCCTAGATTTCAAACAGGTGAAGAGACTGAAGACCTCTGTCCCACAAGTTAGTCACTGATTAGGCAAGAGTTTCTGGCACCTGTTTCCTCCACTTATTTTGAACCTGCATGGTGGTCCCGACTTGTTTGAAATGGGTCATGCCAGGCTTAACTGTCAGCTGGCTTCACTGTCTCACCGCTAACATGCACAATCCACAGAAAGACAACTGTAGAGTCCAAGAACTGAGTATTTAATCTAATTTATATAAAATAATATTTGACTTTCTCACTACCAATATATAGGGTGTCCCCAAAACATGTATACAACTTTAATAGCTGATAACTCACTTAATTTTGAAAATGAACTGTATGCTAATAAACACTGACCTCTTAATCATTCCAAGTGTGTATACATAATCATTCAAAGTGTGTATATGTGGCTTCTGCAAAGTTATGAAAACAGCTTCAACATAAGCTAAAGCAATAATTTTCAATATCATTCATGGTAACCAATCTTAGAGAATTATTTTATCTTCCATTTCTTGCACATGCGAAACTGTACCTAATCTTTTCAGGTATGGAATAGATTCGTGATTCTATACCAAAATGTAAAATCAAAATTTAGTGTCATAACTCCCAGCTAAATGTCACGCTAACCCACTTGATGATCTTTGTGGCGGTGTTATATCACAGTGCACACAGTGTCAGAGCCATCAATCTAGGAGCTCTCTGTCAAAAATATGTGAACACTGGCCATACTCCAAGCCTACCCCAAAAGGAAGTAAAAGAGGCATTTGTAGGTTGCAAGTCCTGGTCTGGTTTATTTATAAAGCAATAAATATTAGAAGCACAAATAAACTGCACGTGTGTAAACAAACTGTACAATGGTTGATGAGAGATGAAGGAGGGTCGGTCGGAAGACTCCAAGAAGCATAACACTGTCATCCTGAATGTAAGGTAGACTAAAAGAGGAGGCACCTTAGAAGCATTTGCGGTGGACGATGGAGGGGCCTGCCTCATCGTACTCTTGCTTGCTGATCCACATCTGCTGGAAGGTGGACAAGGAGGCCAGGATGGAGCCCCCGATCCAGACAGAGTACTTGCGCTCAGGGGGAGCGATAATCTGCAGAAAGAAAACAGAAACTTCCAGGGAACACTGAAGCTCCAAGCAACAGAGCATGCTGCATGTTGGGGAGCCTAACCAGAAAAAAAAAATAGTAGGTATTAACTCACTATAGTGTAAGGTACTTCATACCACAAGTTAATAGAGCTGAGTCAAGTTTTATGCATTTCCCACTACTTCATTACTCCTATTATCAAAGACTTTACAAAATAGAATTTCCCACTTCTCTGAACTTAGGTATAATGTGGCAACAAACTAAAAGGCTCAATGTTGGGAACTTTTAAAATGTGTTCAAAGATTTAGGTGGTTTTTTTGTTTTGTTTTGTTTTTGTAAAAGATTTGTTTTTATCCACAGCTTGAAAGCATTTTTAAAGTCTCCTATCTTGGGAAAAATGCTAGAAAGATCAGAAAGGGGGAAAAAAAAAGTGCTAGAGAAGCTAAAAGGTAAAAGTTTGAGTAGGCAAGAAGCTAAGTGTGAGGAGAAAGGATTTAGGAATGCCTTCTGCTTGGAATGCCAAGGCCTGCTTCAGCTGGCCCAGGCACTGGGGTTCTTTACCTTAATCTTCATGGTGCTGGGAGCCAGGGCAGTGATTTCCTTTTGCATGCGATCAGCAATCCCAGGGTACATCGTGGTACCTCCAGATAGGACATTGTTGGCATACAGGTCTTTGCGGATATCAATGTCACACTTCATGATGCTATTATAAGTTGTTTCATGAATGCCAGCGGATTCCATACCTAAGAACAAATTTTTTGTTTTTTGTTTTTTTAAATCAAAGTGCATTTAGGCCAGGGGCCATGGTGGAGGGGTGAGAACAGAACTCCCCTGTGTCGGCAAATTGTCACCATTTGTCTCTGAAACATGTGCTCCTTTATCAGACACACTGAAGACATTTGTGGAACAGGTGTCCTAAAAGTGCTCACAGTTAGCCCATAGCAGACTGCCAAGAAATGAACAATTGTGTCTAGCACCTGTTGGAAGCAAACACTTGCTGTATCCACCAGGTGCATGGTGCATGGCAACGTATTGAAAAAGGAAAAGACACACATTTAAGTTACATCCATGCAGGTTTTATTTATTCAGCAAAATAAGATCCTCACAAGCTTCCTCCTGTCAATCATCCCTTAGGTGAGATGTTTGGTGACATAGAAATATCACTCCAGTTATCACTGTGAGTATGACTGCTATTATATGTAACAATGAGTAACTTAAAAGGCAAGTCCAGCTATTGGTAATGAAGCTGATTGGAATGAATCAGCAACCTTGAGTAATTGAGTAATCTTTCCTGCAGATACGGATTATTCAGGTCCTACTCTGTCTCATCCTTTCTTTTGAGATGAAGTCTGAGTGTCATTTCATTTCAACGGGACACAACAGTGATGGCCACCCCTTTAATGAGCCATCAGAACCTGAGACTGAGCTGTGTGGGACTCCAAGCTATGATTTCTTTTCTTCAAGGGTCCCTTTCATCCTTCTTCTTCATAATAGATTTTACTCTGGGACCTCCCAAGATTTTCAGGGAAAGGCTGTGCCTCTGCCCCAGACCCTACAACTCACCGATGAAGGAAGGCTGGAAGAGTGTCTCGGGGCAGCGGAAGCGCTCATTGCCAATGGTGATGACTTGGCCATCGGGTAGTTCATAGCTCTTCTCCAGAGAGGACGAAGAAGCAGCTGTGGCCATCTCATTCTCAAAATCCAGAGCAACATAGCACAGCTTCTCTTTAATGTCACGGACAATTTCACGTTCGGCTGCAGAAATAGAGTACCCCAGTCAAGTCACCTGTGGGAGGTAGATGGACTCACCAGTGAAGGAAAAAACAGTATTGCAGCACATGAGACACACACTCACCGGTGGTGACAAAGGAGTAGCCACGCTCAGTGAGGATCTTCATGAGGTAGTCAGTGAGATCCCGACCGGCTAGATCCAGACGCATGATGGCATGGGGCAGAGCGTAGCCCTCATAGATGGGGACATTGTGAGTCACGCCATCCCCAGAGTCCAGAACAATGCCTGTCAGAGGGAACAGACAAGGATGAAGTAAATACCTGATGACACCACTGCTTTTAGCCTACTGCTTTATGGACAAGATAAACTAGCCCTGGGCATGGATCCAGATGAAATTAGATCCTTTACACACAAAGAATAAAAAAACGAGCATAACGAATGGTAAATCTGAAGCCAGCCTTGGCTCATCTTTTTAAATATTGCAGTAGAATTTCCCCAGGACACTCAAGTGACCATCCCTTTCATCAGCCTGTAGCACATTGTGTAAGCACCCAGGCGTGTTTTCCTTTCCTCCCATCTAACTAACATGTGTTTCTCTCTCTTTTGACTCACACCCTGTGGGGAATGTGGGTTCTCCTTGGCAATATTTGCCAGGGGCTGTGATGGTATGAACACATACCAATGATGGTTGCATTCCAGGCTGATACTGTAGATTGTACAGAGCCTCATCACGTGACATCACTGTTTCTTTCAGCTCTCAGAAATACATGTGCTCTGAAACTAACCTCAGGGAATGATGGTTTTCTTTCTCTCTTAGTGCCGACACTTTCCATGGAGTATGGGAGAAGGGATCATTCATTTTCAGCTGGGGAAACTGATTCACAACAAGGTCAAGGACTTGGGAATGTGATTCACCAGTGTCTGTCCCCAGAGCCCAAACATACCTGTGGTACGGCCAGAAGCATACAGGGACAGCACTGCCTGGATGGCCACATACATGGCAGGGACGTTAAAGGTCTCAAACATGATCTGGGTCATCTTCTCACGGTTGGCCTTGGGGTTCAGTGGGGCCTCAGTGAGCAGAGTTGGGTGCTCCTCTGGGGCCACACGGAGCTCGTTGTAGAAGGTATGGTGCCAGATCTTCTCCATGTCGTCCCAGTTGGTGATGATGCCATGCTCAATGGGGTACTTGAGAGTCAGGATACCTCGCTTGCTCTGGGCCTCATCTCCTACATAGGAGTCCTTCTGACCCATACCCACCATGACGCCCTAAAAGAAGAAAAAGATGGGGCGATCAAGCTTCCACTAGGTCAGGAATATAATTGGTGCCTTATAAATTTACATCTAACTGCCCAAGTCAAGGAACACCTTATAAAGGCCAGAAACACCAAACAATAGGATTTTATCCCAATTTAGAAATATCACTTAAAATCAATCTAGTACTTTTCCCCACTATCTTTCCCCCCAACACCCAAAAAAGTATAATTTTACTGCTTAGAATATAACTGCGGGTGAGGGGAGACAATGCTATTTCACTGAAGTAGAGCCTCGCCTCGTTTTAAAAATACCATAATGCCTTCATTAAATTACTAAGCTCATCCCCCATGTCAACTGGAATTTAAATGACTACGTTGTGAAGTGACTGGATTCATGACACATTGTATTTCTCCTAAGAAAAGATTTTGACATTCATCAAGTAGCGCTTGGCTGCTGGGCCACTTCCCCGCTGCCAGGGAAGCCAGCCTGCCAGGGGCTGTCCTGCCCATCACTCCCCAGCCCCGAGCACAGCCATCCTCTCTGGCAGCCTGTCTGACCAGGCATGTGGCAAAGGCAGCGAGGGTGGCATTTCTCTTCATAAACAAGGTGGGATGTCACTATCACCATGGCACCTCCTGCCTCTGTCACGTCTGGCTTCTAAAAATGCCAACAGCCAGGAAGCAGATAGATTACATCTTTTTTCGGGAGCCCAGTACACTGGCTGTGAACAAGGGCGAGGAATGTGGCTGGGCTCCTGCTGGGCGGAGAGAAGGTCTAGTCTTATGTTTTGAACAGGACTGAAAAGAGGAGGCCAAGAAGTGAGAGTGACGTGTGTGAAAGATAGAGAAGACCCTGAGGACTGGACATGCAGGTCAGGAGCAGAGGGGAGAAATGGCTGCCTTTTCCGACCAGATAGTGGGAGCCCTTGGAGAGCTGTGTCCCTGCAGTGAAGGGGAAACCGCCCACGTCAGTGAGAACAGCTTGCCTTGACTTGGGCCTGAAGCTAAATCATCTTTCACTTATTTGACCTAAAGAGTTTATGAAGCAGGAGGCTCTGGTGAAACATTCCCTGGACTGCCTCCTGCAGAGGGGACCGGCAGGGCGAGAGGCGGGCGGGAAGGTTACCTGGTGGCGAGGGCGGCCCACGATGGACGGGAAGACGGCGCGGGGCGCGTCATCGCCCGCGAAGCCGGCCTTGACCAGCCCGGAGCCGTTGTCGCACACCAGGGCGGTGGTCTCCTCGTCGTCGCACATCTTGGCACAGTTTCAGCGGGGTCTGCGGGTGGAGGAGAGGGGCGGCCCGGGTTCAGCGCCTGCGGGGCTGGCCTGCCACAGAGCTCAGGGGCCGCAGGGGCGCACAGCCACCTCTCTGTCCCTCTCAGCAGAAGAACAGAAAGGATGGGAGTTGCAGCGGAGGTTGGGGAGGTTGGGGGTCTGAGTGCTGAGAGAAAGGGGAGGAATGACCAGGCTCCCTGACAGGGAGGCTCGCCCTCTGTCTCAGGTGCAAGGAGGGACGGTTACCTCTCACGGTCCTCCCCAAAGGTCCTCCCCATTTGCACCTTTTCACAAATTGGGAACCCACATCAGCCCCATCCACACCCCCCATCCATGTCGCGCCCCAGCCGGAGGGGAGAGCGCACAAAAGAGGGAACCTCTAACATCCAGAGGGGGCTCATGGGGTTCCCCTTCCGCGCTCCCCTCTCCAGGGACTTCCAGGGCGAGAAAAGTTAGAATCAGATGGAAAAGTTTGGTCTTGAGAAAAGTTAGAATCAGAAAAGTTTGGTCCTAAAGGAGAGAGTGCGGAGCGGCGGGCAGGGCGGTCTCAGAGGCTGACTCACCGGGCACGGGGCGGGCGGGCTCGGCTCGGCTCGGCGGGTGCTGGCGGCCGGCGCGGGGCGCGCTGCTTTATACGCGCGGCTGGACGACGGGGTCAGTCGGAGCGGCCGGGGGCAGGGGTGGGGGGCAGCCGGCCACCTTGCCTTATTTGGTCGCCTTCGCACCGCCGAGGAGCGCAGAGGCCATTCATGGAGCCAAGGGCAGGGGAGAGGCTCGGCCAGGGGCCCCCAGACCATGTAAGGAAGGGGAGGGGGCAACCAGGGCATGGCCAAATAGGGAGCCGGGGAGGGGCGGGCGGGAAGGGTTGGGGGCAGGGAACACGACGTGCCGCCAGCCCTCCCCCGCTCCCCCGTGCCGGTGGTGGGGGTGATCCCTGGGTGTGCCTCCGAAGCCCCGCCAGCCGGAGACAATGAGCCACACAGAAGCGGGAAGGCTTGGCACCCTGCCCTCCGCTGAGGGGTCCCGACAGCTGGGCCAAGGCGCAGAGGCAGCCGGCAGCTTCTCCTCTTCCCCATCGGACAACGGGGACTGGAGGAGCAGAGGCTGGCAGCCCCCGGGGACCACAGAGCAGCCCCGCAGCGCCCGCGGGCTGCCAGGAAAGGGGCACCTGGTGGTCTGGGGCCCACCAGCCTGGATGACTTTACTCCAGGAGCGGGGGCTGTGCGCCTCTGGGGCAGAAAGCTGCCATTATCCGAGGGCACCTTAGTCCCAAACCATGCAGGGCTCAGGCCAGGCCAGGGGGAAGGCTAGAGAGAGCGATGTGCGAGTCAGGCCAGCCTTGCTGGAGAAGAAGGGTCAGGCTCATCCCAGCCCAGACATCAGGTTGCTGTCCTCCAAGCGGGATTTTTGCTCAGGACTCCTGTCTTTGTCCAAAGGAGGCTCCCTGCCTCCAAAGTCAATGAAGAAACAAATGCCAAAGGCAGCTTGTCTGCTCGCTGATGGAAAGATGAATATCCATAAACCGGGGGCAAAGCCCTTCACTCCTGGTGGAGACCAAACTGAGACAGCAAATTCTTGGCAAGAAGAGAACTGCAACTTCTACCTATGGACGCATCAATGAGACAGGGGAATGGTCTGGGCCCACCCTGGAACTCTTAAAGGAGAGTCTGCATGTTAGCCAGATGCTCCGTTGACTTACATGTACATTAAAGTATGAGAAGCAAAAAAAAAAAAAAAAAAAAAGTGTTAATAGAAATGACTGATATCAGCTCCTTTATGGAAGCAGATTTTGAAGGATCTTGGAACTTTAGAGCAGGGAACAGAAAGATGACAGGAAGCAGGGAGAGGGGCATGCGATCCGAGGGACACAAGAAGGACACAGATTGCCAGTTTGCCCTGGGGTGTCCTGTCGTCTCAGTTCTTGACTGGCACTTTGATTTTTAATGCTTGTGTTTTTCCTCCTGTTCACACCAGCTAAAAATAGAAAACTGGGCACAGGCATCCACCTCTGGAGTGGTCTTGGAGAGATATGCTGAGGAGGCCTCTGATTAGATACTTCTCTCGACCAGGGGAATGCTGGGCCCTCCCCCTGAGCTCCCCAACCATGTTTGGGTTCATCTGGAGAAGAAAGTGTGGGGGCAGCTGGGTGATGGAGGGGCCTGGCTGGGATCTCCTCCCACCGCACAGTAGCCTTTTTACAATGAACATGGCAGGATGCAAACAGCAGAGCTGCCAAGACTCAGGCAGATGTAGAAGAAAAAAAAGAAAGAAAAGGAGAAATGGTGGTACAGCCACACAGTCCTGGTTTCAAATCCTGTCTCTATCACTTCCTACACTTTTACTTGTTCTTGGACAAGTCCATTCACTTTCCTGGAAAGGGACACAATAACTCCTTTGTGGCAAGGGTTATTAATGATTGTAATAATTAGAGTTACATTGGGGGGAAAAAAAGCACATAGATGATAAAAACAAACTGTAACCATTACTATTTAGTCTCAGTGATACTTTGGGAGGGAGCTGTAGCTTTTACTTTTGAAGTAGGTCATTTTATTTATCAATTGATTCAGCGAAAATTTATGAGACAATAACTGTGCTGTCACAGGGTTGCAGGGATAAGACAGAGCCATTATATTATAGAACGCACTACAGGGCAGTTACAGGAAAGGCAGGGACAGTTATGGTACCTGCTGGGAAGGAAAGGGGAGAGCACTGGGCAGTCACGAAAAGAGGGAGCCATCCAAAAGAAGGCCTTCCTTCATGGTTTTGAAAGTAGAGCAGGACTGAAGTTCACAAACATTTGTGTGGAAGGCAGTTTCTACATGGGAGTGGCTGATGACAGATTCCCACGTTCACAGCCATATGGGCAAAGGGAGCTCCTGGAAAGTGGGCTCATCCCTGAGCACCATAGCTATTGACCTGAGTCCTTTGCAAATACTTCCCGGTCCAGGAGGCCAATTCCAGCCCACCACCTGCAGGCCAGTCTGCCCTGGGGGGTTGGGAGAGTGGTGGGAATGGCAGAGGCACGCACAGATCAGTTGAGCACTGAGGCCAGTTTTATGAAACAATTTTCACCATTAAAATGCTTTTAAAACAATTTCATGTTTCCCTAGTTAGGACAAACTGTACTGTTTATATGCATTATGTTTGTGATAAGAAAGAACATTTTTTTTCCCCTTGAAGATCTGTGATGGTTTGATATTTGTTCATTGCAATACTGCTCAGTTTCCACATTTTAAAATTCTGACCCCCATTTCATATATTTTAAAACGCAAGTCAGTGGGAAAGTACAGTTCAGTGACGGATTTTCACTTGACACAGTTTTCCAGGGTTCCATTTAATTCGGAAATGGTGATTGGGTTCTGTCACATCTACTTAAGTCCATAAAGATGACTTTCTCCTCTGTGGTGCATTCTAGATAATTCATTTGTCAAAAATCATGGCAAAATACACATAACATAAAATTTACCATGTTAACCGTTTTAAATTGTACAGTTCAGTGGTGCTCAGGACATTTACACTGCTGTGTAACCCATCTCCCCATTTCATTTTTTTGATTCAACTAGTAACTAAAGTGATTTCAAAACCCAGGAATGGCTATGTCCTGCAATTAGAACACCCCTCCCCCCCACCCCCCACCCCACACACACACACAAAACAACAACACTGGTTTATATCCTGGAAGAGTGAGGATCAAATCCAGGCACCTGACTTTGCACCCTGTTCTCCTCTACCACCCCTAAATGCCCTCCAGTCCACTTGTCTTGCAGTCCTCTTGGTGCAGCCAAATCGCCTGGGCTGCCTCATAGAAACTCAGATTCCGTGTTTCACCCTGGGACATTGAGTCAGCGTTTTAAATAAGTCGCCATCCCTCTCCCTCAGGTGGTTCTCGGAGCTGGAGAAATGTGGCAGCACCGCCTGGCCGCTCCTCCCAGGCCCTTGGAGCTTTGCTGCCTATTGTCCGCTGTCTGAGCTGCCAGTGCTGGCCCGGGTCCAGCTTGGCTGACCTTGAGCCTCCCGGCGGGATGGCAGAGCCAGGGCGTGTCCCCAGGGCTCCTGAGGGCCAGCCAGGCCCTCTGGGCTGGGACAGGGCAGGAGGGAGCCATGCAGGGCGAGCCGAAGGAACAGAAGGCAGGACAGTTCCAGTTGCCCTTGCCTCGAGGGAAGCCTGTTTCTTCCACCATCTGCTGGGACCTGGAAGGGGGGCCCGGCCTCCTCCCGCACGGGGTGTGTGGGGGGGATTAGCGGCCACTTATCTCAGCTGTTCCTCCGCTTGGACCTGTGGCGGTATTTACGGAGAAGACAGAAACAGACTTAATTCCTCCTCACAAGCTCGCCCTTCCTCCCCCTGCAGCCCCTGCGTTCCAGGGCTGGGAGGGAGCGGAGGGGAGGCGCTTTCTAGACCAGACGGTGGGGGCAGAGAGGAGCCAGCCTTCCTAAATCTATTTTCTTCCCCTCACATTTGTTCGCTCCCCCTGCCCTGGGGCTGGAGCTGGGTTTCAGTTTTCATTAAAAGAAGAAAGTGACGCGGCTATGAGGGATGCAGGGCCCACACATCCTGGTGCTCAGGATTCAGTGCCACGCAGGCCTCCCCGCCGGCTGCTTGCCCCTGTTTCACATGCAGCCACCCAGGGGATCTATCAGCGGGAGGGTGTTTCAACTCCAGATGGGCTCTGTTCTTGGCACATCCTGGCAGTCCTTGCCTTCTGATACGATAGGATAGGGGCGTGATGGACCCTTTGGTAAGATTTAGAGAAGGAGGACAAGGCAGGTGGTAGGGGGCCTTGGGAGCAGAACGAAGAAGGGACATCCTTTTGGGTCTTGGAGTCACGGGGGCCAAGTGATCTAAAAGCTGGATTTTCCCTTTCTTCCATTCCCAGTGCTGGTCCCGGAAAATCTAAAGCCTTTTTCATTCCTTAAAAGGAGTCAGTCCTTGGAGAAGGAAGTGCTGAAGCTCACAGGTTTCTGCTTGGAAGGTATTC